GGAGGAGAAATTTAAGGAAGCTGTGTGAGGCTGTCAGAATGTAGTTTTGAATATTTTAGGTATACCTGTGTATAAAGTGACTTGCTTCTGACCTCATCACTTTCCAGATTTCAGTTCTTTAATGTTAGTGTTGTATGAAGGGAAGGAGTATATTGAGTTAAAGTGGGGGATCAATTATGTAGCACATAAAGCACCTGTACAAGTATATTAATCTGTGTGTTTGTGTGTGTGTGTGTGTGTGTGTGTGTAGGTTCAACCTGGACCCAGAGATGAAGGCTACAGATGAGATGCTCTGGGAAGCTCTGGACATTGCTCAGCTGAAGCCTGTTGTTAAATCCCTTCCAGGAGGTCTGGGTGAGTAAATCTGTGTTTGTTTTAATGTGTGTGTGTGTGTGTGTGTGTGTGTGTGCGATGTCTTTTGTGCTAATTAGCACATATTAGCATGCTAACATGCTAAACTAACACTGTCACTGTTAGCATGCTATGCAGATTGCAAAAAAACCCTTGGAGACACATTTTAGATTTTAGATTTTTGCCTGTATAAATAAAATCAATACTAACTTGCAAAGGTTGAAAGTAGCTAAATACATACGATAGATTTTTAATTTACTCCCAACATTTCTACACAAATACCTGTACTTTCTACTCTTTATATTACTTTTGTTTTAAGGCATTTGAGGGGAATTATTGATTATTATTTGTTTTTGCATCATTGCATGCCTTCCACATATCAAGACCGGTGTACATCACGCATAAACAACCAAAACAACATAAAAGACCAGTAGAAATGTCCGTCAGAGTACTTTTTACTTTAATTCTTTGAGTACATTTAGGAGCCTGTACTTCTTCACTTTTACTTGAGTAGAGAAGTTGAATCTGTACTTCTACTTTTACCGGAGTCTTTTTTTACACAACCTTTCCCACCATTGTTGACTTGTACCCTGAATGCACACAAACTGTTGTTATCCTTTGCACACTAGCAAATGATGCAGTGTGTAAGTGTTGAGTGTGTGGCAAAGATCTGTACAGTAAATGAAATAATTCTCTCTCCGTGGTCACATGTTCTCTGTGACCATCACATGTGTCGGCTGCTCTGCTGTCTCGACACAAAGATCGGGCCGCTGTATCAGAATACATGAGCATTAATTTTTTACCTCCCCGTCTGAGCTCTATTATGTGTGTCGCTGCTCTGTCCTGCACAGTTCTACAGGCGTATTATTCTCAGCTGGTCGTGGTTCTGACACAAGAGACCCGACAGTTGCAGACTGCAGCAGTCTCACCACCAGATCGGATATTATCTGACAGCCATGTGCCTCTCCAGCAGACTTCAACTGCATATATGATGAATGTGTTGGTCTGTTGATGCATGGGGCGTCCTGTCTGCACGGTGTCCTACTTCAGCTGTTTTGCAATTTGTCACTCCGTTTTCTACATTTTCTCAAAATAATACCACTCACTACTGTGGCGGAATAACTGAGTGCCGCTGCTTATCTCACCCCGATGTATTTCTGCTTTGGAAACCTGCTTTTCACTTGTCACTGACTGACTGAAATGTGTGTGTGCTGGTGTGTGACATGTTGAAACTGAGCTACAGCCTGCTTCAGTTTATGTTTACTGGAACCAAAGATATTGATCTGTAACCCAGGGCTTAATGGCTAGTTAAGTATCCCCTTTAATTTAGTTAAAGCAACAAAACAGTGTTAATGTGAAGTTTTATGTTGCATAAAAGCAGACCACAGTTAATGGCAGTGAGTCAGGAATTATTTGTTACTGCAATGGTGAGTATTAAAAAGAAATGTTTTACTTCATCATATAAATATTAACAGAGTTTAAAAGGTTTTACCATCTTTTTTAAAAATTTATTTATCTATATATACTATTCCTGTGTCGATTATTTAATCTCTGTACTCTTTAACTTTCTAATAAAGATGAAAAACAACAATAGAGAGAAATCTTTAAAATAAATCAGTCATGGATAACATAATATAATATAGTGTACTTTTGTCATTGAATAGCCTCTCCCACAGGACTTAAAACCTAATCAGTTTTACAAACCGACCGATCACTGGAGAGCAGTTTAATTTTTCAAGCTTTCAAGATGTGAATGGAAAATCAATAAGATATTGATCTGTAAGCGTAAGAGTTAATGACTAATTCACTTTGCCCTCTTATTTGGCTAAACTAATAGTGTAGTACTGATGTTATGTGTCTGTGTATCTGTATACTGTATATCAGGGGTCTGAACCTCATCTCATAGCAGGGCCACTTCAAAGTTCAAGTGTTACAAGAAAGCAGAATACTCTTATTTCCATTACTAACATCATAAAAACAAACCGTTTCTACATATTTTTATATCATCATTTTATAGTTATATCTTTGTTGTTTGCAGGCATACAACAAATGAAGGCCTGAAACCTGCTCTCTTCCTATCAGCCGTTTGCACGCGTTTACAGCCATCTTTGACTATTTTGCGGCACAAGAAACGCATTTGTTTTAAATGAAATTGTGTTTTTATTAGTAGGGCAGTTTAAACTGATATGAAACAACAAGAACAAACTTGTGGGCTAGATTATATTATATTGTTGACATCATGGTGCAGGCCAGACAGAGGGGGGTGGAGGGCAGGACCCCTGCTGTATATGAATGTATATAATTATGAAAACATGTATATTTATGGTAATTCTTTTCCCAATTCAGATGCCACAGTGACGGAGGGAGGAGAGAACTTCAGTCAGGGTCAGAGACAGTTGTTCTGTCTGGCCAGAGCCTTCGTCAGGAAGAGCAGCATCCTCATCATGGACGAAGCAACAGCGTCCATAGACATGGCAACGGTCAGTGTGTGTGAGAGTACAAGAGCTCTGAGAGGTGGTAGAGGGGGCATACAAAGGAAATTAGCAAAGTAAAGGGACAAAAGGAGGCGAGGTGAAGGAAAATGGAGGAGACGAGGCTTGCTCATTGTGAGGGGTGAAGCAAAGTTCACCAGGTAATTTTCATTTGTAGGCATGGAAACAAAAAACGAGGAAAAGCTGACAGATGGAGACATTTATAATGAGGAACCCACTTAGCTGAAAGCCCTTCTAAAATAAAATTGAAGGGTTAAAAGTTATTGATTGACAGATAATCTGCATTCATTAGTCTGTTGGAAACATCAGACAAACACCGATCATTTAGATTGAATTGCTGTCTAGTGTTAGTCTGTTTATTTAAAATAACCGTTATTATGGCATTGAAAGCAGGTTCCAATCTAGGTTGTATCTTTAACTGAAGCCTTATGATGTAAGAGGATGAATAAAAGAAAACCAGAGAGGAGGAGGTGTGCATAGAGCTTGCAGAGAAAGAATGAAAATACTCAGCACAGTAAGAGCCTGAGGGGGAGTCAGTATCAGCAAATGGCTGCTTCTTACTTAAGATCCTCTCCTGAATGATCAGTCACAAAGAGCGACATTTCTAGATTACAGTAACGCAGCTGCAGTGCCCTTGAGGAAACACAGTTTAGGCTTTATTCTGGGACACTGAGAGGGGGAACAAGAGAAGTGACACTTAGAATATATAATAATGTGTGTTTTCTTTACCAGCATAGTTTTTAATAATGTACTTTTCTTTTTGTCACCCTCCTCTCCCTCTGTCCTCACAGGAGAGCATCCTGCAGAAAGTGGTGATGACTGCTTTTGCTGACCGAACAGTAGTTATTATAGCAGTGAGTATCTCCCCCACACTGTGCCAGTGCGTTAGGCGTTTACAGTAATGCGTGCAGCTCTCTCCCATTTCCCCCCTGAGAGTGCTGACCTTCGTCCAGCACTGCTGATGTAATTCTTGTAAACTGATGCAAAGCTGCAGATAAATGCAGCAGGGACAGAGAACTATTTCTGCAGGAGTGTGCTGAAATTACAAAGGTAAGAGAGATAAGTAGGAGAGGGGACATCAGAGCAGATTCCAGACTTCGGGGACACAATTTCCTCTGGATCATTTAGGTTATTTCATGATAAAATCCTTGAAAAGATCATCTATGAATGTTAAAACTCCATTTCACTTGAACTAATCAAGAAAAATGGGCAACCAAAAAACCTAGGTCCAAGACAGTAGTTCTCAACCTGGGGTCCTTGAGGAGGTTCCAGGGGGTCCCCAGAAAAAATGGTAATATTTTAATTTCACTATGATTTAATTGGCTATAAGTTGGCCCATTGAGGGAATGTATAATAATGGCTATTCTGTTCATAAATGTCACACTGTTTACTGTCAATCTGCCAATCTACAGTATAGACTGTTATGGAATAACTAAATCTTATCAAAAAGGGATCCCTGAGACTGCATCTAATCAAATCAGGGTTTGTGGCCTGATGTCTATCAATTAAGGGGTCCTTGACACCATAAAGATTGAGAACCACTGCTCTATGGTGTGTCAGTCTGAATTAGTGCCAGTTGCAGAGTGGTGCAGCCTTCTTTCTGTGCTGTTCAGTGCATTGACAGGTTTTCTTCCCCCACAGCATCGTGTCCACACTATCCTGAATGCCGATCTGGTGATTGTGATGAAGCGCGGGATCATCCTGGAGTACGACAGGCCCGAGGCCCTGCTGGACAAGGAGGACAGTGTCTTCACCTCCTTCGTGCGAGCAGACAAGTAGCACAAGAGCCAGAGAAGGAGAGGAAGCATTAAAGGAAGACATTCAAAGTGCAATTGTCCCATGGAATATATTCCTTTTATTTTTTAATCATGTATTATATTTGTACATACAAAAGCTAATTCTTTGTTAATAAAACATAAATTATCATTTACATTAGTGGTTTTTGTTGGGGTTGCTGGGACTGAGATTAAGACTAAAATGATAGACAATGTGTTGTATGCTTGTGTGTGAGACTTCTGCCCTGTATAAAACAAATGAGTCATCAGTGGATTGCAGGTTTAAAGTTACCCGACCAGGAGCAGAGGAATTCATGATGCTGTACAGCAACACGAGGCAGAAACACAGAGTAGTGATCATCTTCATATACTCAAGGGCTGTCAGGAGGGGATGATACGCTGCGCCTGCTGCAGCCAGGACTGACATCTGACATTGGAAAGTTATATGGATGCCAGAGGAGCACAGTGGCCTGTAAAATAAAGTATTTCCATTAGTGGTAAGAAAAGGAGGAGCCGGTAGAACGTGGAGATCAGATTTTAAAATGCAGGACTGGATGTTAATCAAAAGACTGAATCTGGTCCCACTTTGTATGTAAAGCAACGTTTATACCAAACAGCCTGAGGATGGTTTACTGTAGAGTGGCCTATATTTAACCCTTCATATATATTCATATTGGAGTATAAGCTTCCTGTGGCATTTAGGCTGCACAACTGCACAGTTTTTAATGCGTAATGGCTCCACTGCTGCATTCTCTTTGAAAATCACAGGAAGGTGGAGGAGGGAGGGACTGCCTCACCACGTCTCCATCTCACGTTACCGCGCTATAGTGAAGTGGCGGAGCCAGCACTGAGCCACTAAAACCTGCCTTCTCATGCAAAGGTGATAAAACTCAGCTCAGAGGCCCATTACGCTCCTGCATCAACATTTTACAGCTCACTGAATTTATTCTACGCCCGAGGCCACGGCGAAGGGCTGGGGGGGATTCCAATGGGACGGGGTGCTGTGGCACGACTCTGCCCGGTCGGTCGGTCGGTGTCGTGAGTGACGGCGGCAGCTGCGGAGCTGGAAGGAGAATCTTCTCATGGGACTTCGCGGTTGGAAAACGCCTGACCTGGAGGCAACTTGAGGGGCGCACATAACTCCAGAAAACGAGACTACCCGTCCTGCTGCTGGCAGCTGACCGATTGGTGAGAAAATACACCGAGAAAGAGGAAAAATACTCCATCTTTCAACCGGGAAGAAACGAATCAGTACCGTCAAAACCAACACGGCTGTGGGCTCCATAGTATGGGAGCGCTATGTTGTCCAGGAAAGGACTTATTCCTGAGGATTACTTGTTGACACGTTTGTCTGAGGATGTCCTGCAGCCCAAGTTTAAGGCGAAACCGGGGAAGGCTCGGTTCGTCGCCAAGAACGGCACCTGCAATGTGGCGCACACCAACATCCGAGAACAGGGCCGATTCTTGCAGGACGTTTTCACCACTCTCGTGGATTTAAAATGGATCCACACGCTCATCATTTTCACCATGTCCTTCCTGTGCAGCTGGCTCCTTTTCGGGATGATCTGGTGGCTCGTTGCCTTTGCGCACGGGGACCTGGACCAGAGCGAAGACGGCTTTGTCCCGTGCGTAACGGACATTCACTCCTTCTCCTCCGCTTTCCTCTTCTCCATAGAGGTCCAGGTGACCATCGGTTTCGGGGGCCGGATGATCACGGAGGAGTGCGTCTCCGCCATCATCATCCTGATCGTGCAGAACATCGTCGGACTGGTCATCAACGCCATCATGCTCGGCTGCATCTTCATGAAAACTGCGCAGGCCAACCGGCGCGCAGAGACGCTCATTTTCAGCAAGCACGCCGTCATCTCCATCCGCAACAACAAGCTGTGCTTCATGATCCGCATCGGGGACCTGAGGAAAAGCATGATCATCAGCGCCACCGTGCGGATGCAGGTGGTCAGGAGAACCACCACCGAAGAGGGCGAAGTGGTGCCTGTGGACCAGATCGACATCCACATGGACAACCCGGTGGGTACCAACGGCGTCTTCCTGGTGTCCCCCCTCATCATCTGCCACGTGATCGACAAGGACAGCCCTCTGTATCAGCTGTCCGCCTTTGACCTGCAGCACGAGGACATCGAGGTCGTCGTGGTGCTGGAGGGGGTGGTGGAGACCACGGGCATCACCACGCAGGCCAGGACGTCCTACGTGTCGGAGGAGATCCTGTGGGGGCAGCGCTTCGTGCCCACGGTGTCCGAGGAGGACGGCATGTACGCGGTGGACTACTCCAAGTTCGGTAACACCGTGAAGGTCCCCACACCGTGCTGCAGCGCCAAGAAACTGGACGAGGGAGGTGGCATTGCTCAGTTTAAACTGAACGAGGGCGTCACCTTGCGGTCGTCTGTGAGAAGGCGGCGGGTTGCAACGGTGGCCCGCAAGTCCAAAATGGGGAGTCAGTACCTGATGTAAAACCATGTCTGCCAGCATTTTATATGAGAATGAATTATTACCTAAGTTTTAGGATTGTTAAATGACAAAAAAAAAAAATATTTATTTTATAATAAACTGTAATCAATAAACTACACATCTCTTTATGCAGCAGTGTGAACCCGCACTGAGAATCAGGAGATGTGACAGCATGAGGACTCCTGTTTGGATGTTTTTAAATGCATGTAAAAGCAATAAAGGAGAATGCTTCAAGTGTGCTGTGGATGGAGAGGCCAAATTATGTGATTAAAAAATACTTTTATTTCCATAAAGTTGGTGGACTCACAAGTAGAGTCAGATTGATAGTTATGAGAGTGATATCAAGATCTAGTACTGATCCCTGACACATTTACATTGTATGTAAGACATTTACAGATAAAAAAATACACTTATCGTTGCTCTCTGGTGAACAAGTCACACGGTTTCTAAATGACCACAGACATGATTAGGAACGTAGATATATCGTGAGACAGTTAACTCGTGATACATATATGTGAAGTTTCAATCAGTGAGATGAAAAATTATTTGTGATATCAATCGTACTATCGAGGTGCAAAAAGGCATCAGTGTCACTTCACCAAAGGAAATATAGGCCTACATTGTTTTAGTTTTAATTGTTCTCAGAAATAAAAATTGATTCTATAATTGATGAATAGAACATACATTGTAAATATTTATCTGAGAAAATCTTTTTAAGTCTTAATTTGTCTTCAATCTCATTTTGTTTTAAGAGAAAATCACATTGTGAACCCAGTATTGTGAATTATACTGAATCGTGAGTCTTTGGCAATGATGATAACACTATCTTAAGCAAATATCAGATCAATTGGATCAAAATGGAGGCAGCAGAAACTTTAAGTCCCCAGTATACTTACACAGTCCTACATTTCCCATAATGCAAACAATAAACCCTGCTCTGCTTGGTTGATTTCACACATTTCAATGTCTGCCCTCTTTTGCAACACATTTATAACTGTTAATATTAGTGTGGGTACCCACCAAACTCAGACTGAGGTAACACTAATGAGTGTGGTGACGTTGTCATGGAGGGGGGGTTTTTTTTCTCACACTTCACAAAGTTCCTCCAGAGTCACAGAAAACAGTATACAACTGTTTTAACAGGCTGCCACAGTGTGTCAGGTTCCCCTTTAAAAATAACATCTTTTTATGAGACTAAACACAAGACACTCATGTTTCAGGCCTCGTGCATAATTTACACACAGACATTAACACAAAAGACACTTGAGACAGGGGGGCATTTCTCTCTTTTATTAGATTATAATCCGCAGAGCTTAAAATATTAAATTGCTTTTAACTTAGTTAATAATTAAAATACATAAAAACGAGAGCCAGAACTGAAGAACCCTGCAAAAAAAAAAAAAAAAGAATTAAAATAAATAAAAAAGGAGAATTATAAACCCAATCCTCCTCCAAACAGAGGCTATGTCTGACAGAACCCGCTTGTGATTCTTTGTACAGTAAAGTCCAAGCAGACTGTGCATTTTCTATACATGTGTAACGATACAATTACTGTTATTATTTCTGAACTAATTTTCCTCTGATAATCTTTTAAAAAAGCAAATTTTAAGGGACAGGTAAAAACAAAAAATAATTTTTATTTTTAGTTTTGCACTGGGAGTACTGGTGACTGTTAAACAGCAAAGCAGCTCCACACGATCTGCTCCCCACCCCTTCTGTCTGTCTCCATTTCTGCCTCTCTGGGCCTGCAGACATTACCTCATGTCTTTGGTCCTTCTGTGTGCCCTGGAGTTGGGTGGTTGGTGGTGGCGACGGTGGTGGTGGTTTAAGGGGCTGCTGACACCAGTAAACAAGACTCAGCCTCATCCAGGCATTAGTCTCCCTCAAAGTATCTCTGATCAGATTAAATATCTAACATACAATCTTCATATTTTTATCTCTGCCTCCCTGTTTCTTTGCGCTCTCTACAGATTTGCTGCCCTCTATAGGTGGGCTCTGGGACATGTTTGTTAGGGGTACACTGGGTGATTATGTGACTATACTGTAGTTAAACACGATCAACATCTGTCATACGAGGGACTGAGCAGTCTGGTGAAAGGGACAGAGAATGGGGGAAAAAAAAGAGAGTTAACTTCTCTCTGGCAGCAGTGATGTATTCTCTCAGGTCCTGAGTAGGAAGCGCTTTAATCATCCCCCCACATAAACCCAAACAGTGATTGGCTAGTATCGCCCCGTCAGGCAGTAACGTGGCTCTCTACTGGCCAGCGTAGTGGCCGTGCGCCTGCAGGCCGCCTCCCGCCGCAGCAGGAGGAGGGAAGGACGAGCCTGCAGGTGAGCAGAGACGCCTCTTCTCCACACATTAACAACACTGTACAATAGTAGGTTGAAGCAAAGCAGAGCCCCCTTCCTGTACTGTATGTTAGGTAGAGGATGGAGGGGGGTGAGGGCCGATGGACACACTGCACCCCCCC